GTTTGTTTGTTTTTAATTTAAAATATTGTATGTGACCTTGGGTAATTAAAAACATTTCTTGAAATATGGTGTTTTTAACTGTATCATGCTGGAATTGCCTCTGTTGAGCATGAAGAATTGAATAATACTCATTTGTCACGTAGGATGTTGACTCAAACACAGATGAGTTCAATTCAGATGACAGAGGTTGTTATAAAACCCAGCTGTTGACTCTGCTCCTCTTTCCACAAGTTGCTTTCCCTGTGGCAGGGATGGCTGACCCATGAAGCAATTCTTTAACAACCACATTTTGTAGCCTGATTTATTCAAGTAAACTAATGGTGACTTTAAGTTGTTTTAATGCACTGGGTTGGCAACTCTAACAGCTTAGGAGCTGCTTCCTGTGTAAATCATCAGTGCTAGTATAGTAGTGGCAATCTTTGGAGAAGAGTGAATGCCTAGTAGGATGTTTAAGCTGCCTGTATTAATGGGTAAATATTCTTTGCTTCTGATAAACAGCTAACTCGAGAAAGAATCTTTTCAGAGATCTGCCAGCAGTTGCAGACAACTGTTGGCAAGATACCTCTTCTATGGCTCCAAATGATTCATCTTAAACTAAGGCAATTTTCTGCAAGAGCTTTGGTTGTTAATCACATCTGGAGAAAAGACAGCAAGAAACATTAAAACAGATACTCTTCTTTGGGGTTTCCATTTCATTGGGATTGGAAGAAGACCAATTCTTAATTATTTACCATTTTTTGGAAAAAATATGTGGTGAGCATAGGAATAGGAGCCAATAAATTTATTGGCCAGGGCTGATTCTCTTGAACAAATCACTCGGGTGTTATATGGGGAGCTATTCTAACAAGGCTACCAGGTAGGCTGCTTGGGAGGGAAGAAAGAAAATGGGCTTGGTTTTGAGTGGTGGTGGTGTTGAGAAGGCTGCCAGTTTTCCTTGGTTTTCCTTTTTTTCCGTTTTAGGATAATACCTTGTTGAGCTCACAAGATAACTCCGAGGATTATGGACTTGTTTTAATCCTCACTATAGTCATGAAAGCTAACACTGATAGCAGTAGGTGAAAGAGCCTAATTTTAATAGGTTAGTGTCTAGAACAATCTCAAATTGAGGCTTTTGTTTATTTGTATTTAGATAACTACTGTGTAAACTTTAGATTTTTGCCTTTGAAACAGAATTGTTTCCACAAGAAGTGGTCCAAATAGCAGAACTTAATCAAAACCAAAAATAGAGTTATGTCTTTATAGCCTTTGTTTGGAGTTATTATATCTTATATCTAATAAACATGTGGACCAGATGCTTCTGTTGCCTTTTTTTCCTTGTAGCAGGATTGAATTCCTTGCACTACAGCAACCCTAAAGGCATTACACTGCATTTAAAACAAAATGCAGAAAGGGATGACCTTTTGCTAGGACTCTGTATTGTTTGTATTGCTAAACCTTATCACCATCTTTCAGCAAAAGCCAGTTTAATCCTTAAACATTTATACATATGGTATCTCTTCAGAATTGTCTATTGTTAGCTATCTGTGTTCTCCTCGATTATAATGCTGTGCATCTCTACAATGCCTGCTATTTGCTCCTTGGATCTTCATTGTACGCAGTAGCTGTTATCTTCCTTGCTGATAGCATATCACCAATGGTACCAGTTAAGAGCTGAAAACACTTCCAGCATAATGGAAAGTTCCACTTTCGCCAAGATGACTCACTAATTAATTAACCCCTGGGATATTCTGCCTGGGATGGAGAGGTTTCCTGTGCCAACTTAAGAAAAAGTTACAGGAAGATGCTATTATATAGCAAAAGAGAAATTGGTTGGAAGAATTTTATCTGCCTTGTAAGAATTATGTTTTCTAATACTGTCAATCTACCTGAAAGAAGCTTAGAAACTAACTGAAAAATAGATACTTCGGAAAGCATTGCTTCCCTGACTTAACATCTTCCTTTGCTATAGGAGCAAGAAGGCAGCTGCTGTTAACACCACGAGAGGAATGGACTTGTAATAGGAGTGTGTGGAAGCAAGCAGTACGGGAGGCAGTAAATATCTTTTCCTCCCAGCAGGCCACAAGCTTTTGACTTTAAATAGGTCATCGTTCAAATGTACCTACCAAGTGGCCACTTGGGAGGGAAGAAAGAAAATTAGCTTCGTTTTGGGTGATGGCAGGGGTTGGGAGGGCTGTTGGGGTCATGAAGAGGCAAGGGGAAACTGCCCTGCAGAATGCTTTTCTGTCAGACATTGTTGGAAGTGAGTGAGTGGCTGGAGTATGGTTTCACTGTCCCAGCCTGCTGTGGTTGGAGTGTCTGTCATGTGGACTTCAAGAAATCTTGTGATGCTTTTATAGTGTGGGGGAATCTTTGTTAGATCTGTAAGGTTAAACTTGGTGTGTCTGTAGCAGACTTGAACAAGGAGCATGGTTCTGTACGTGATGATAGATGTGATGGGTGTAAATTTCTCCAGTGAAGAGCTGTAACAAAGCCTGGGAGCTAGAAGGAAGCTCCGGAATTTGAGATTTACCCCCCAGTAGTTTCTGAGTTAGAGAGAAAGAGCTTTTGCTGTAGAAATCCTTCTCCCTTCAGGACAGGGAAGTAGTAAAAGATTTGGGCAGATGCTTCATTTGAGCTAGAAGTGTTGTTTGGACCTCTGGCTAGTGATCTGTTAACATTTCAGCATTTCAGACTTGACAACTGTTTGCTGAAATAGCAAAATGCAGATATTTTTAGTCTCCAGTGGTGCTGCTTCATTGATTTCCCCTCAGATGTAAACATGTGCAGGGGTGACTTCTGCTTTTTACTCCAATGAATGACTGTTCACGCGAAATATGAAAAGTTAGATGGGCTTGTTACCTGATTCTCTCTTTTTGGCTTATTAGCTCAGTCTGCCATCTGTCTAGGAGAAAAAACGGATGCTGAGCTATGACAGACTTTGTAACCATGCAGTCTAAGTTGAGGGGCATGGTGCAGAAAGGAATATTACTTTGTATAAAGGATGATCTTGGAGAACAAGGCTGTGATTGTATCCATGTTTCTTGTCAGGGGAGAAGTGCCACTGAAAGTGAATAGTTGGGTGACTGTAGTACCCTTAAGGACAAAATTGTATCTTAAAAGTTGCTGTTAGCGGATGGGAGGCAGGATGACACTGATCAGTAGTGCTTTTCTTTATGCCAACTCATTATGTGTTAACCTTTATTGACTATAGTGTGTATGTTTATCGATTGATGTGCCCATTCTTCTCATTTGCCATGACTTTTTGTTGGGCTAAATTTATTTTTTCTTTATTTTTTTTTCCCTCTACTTTTTTTTAATAGAAGCTATAAAAGCACAGTAGCATAGGGACAATGCAGGCAACTTTGTACTAGAGACTGCAAGCAAAAAAAGAGGGATGGGAAAGACTAATTTTGTTACGAAAATGAGCATGCTAAGTAAAATACAGGTTCAAACCATGTGTTTGCTTGAGAAAGTTTATGGTCTAAATTTGACATAGACTATAGCAAGCAACCGGAGAACTGCCATATGGAGGAATAGCAGCTTGGCGTTATTAAGATCATACAGTTAACTTAGTTTATAAATTTCTACTGAGCAGTGTCTGCAGTTCAGCAGCAGAAAAAGTGTACTTCATGGGGAGGCTTGAGTGAGAAGGGTGGTGAGGCGTTTTGAGTAGACATTACATGTGCAAAAGGGATAGGTTGGGAAAAGCTGCCTGTAGCGGGGAGAGAGGCATAAATCCAGGTGTGAACAAAAGTAGTTTGTTACTCAAAGGTGAAGTCACTGGTGGAACTGACTAAATTGAATACTTTCAGCACCTCACAAAACAAATGACCAGTCTAAGAAAGGTCAAAGTATCACTAACCTTTTGTTGTTTTTTAAAAAAAAAATAAATTTGGAAATGAATATAATTGTTGTCTGCAGTTCTTTTCACAGTGTAGAGCAGGTGTCAGCAACGCTGTAGCATGTTTTGCTACAGTCTGTTTTTCTGCCCCAAATTAAAGCTTAAGTGTGAAAACAGAAATCATACGGAATCCAAGCTCTGTTGTTTATCACAGTAGCAAGATGCTATCATGATATTCATGGTGTGTTACCTCTACATCAGTAGCTAGAAGTGTCTCCTGCAGACTACAGAGATCACTGGCAACCCGTAGCAGGGAGCTGCTCCCTCTCAGGAGACTGTAGCTGCCAAATCTCAGCCTTATTACACACTATTCAAAACCAGTCCACTTACAACCTTTGCCCTACAGCTGTAAGTGGCTGACACCCATTCGAGGGTGACCTGGAAATCTTTATGGGAACAATTTTGCTATCCATATAGGAGAAACTAATAAGAAGTATATTCAGCTTCCAGATCTCTACAAGGTTTCTTACTGAATTGAGTGCTGGGTTTTTTTGACATCAACTCTATGATAAGCAGAGAACTGTTTCTGGTAATGGCAGAAGACACTAGGAGTTAAACAGGGAAATCTGAAGAGGTAAAAGGGGAAAGTAACAATTACAAAGTTATTTGAGACTGTATGCCCAGAATAAAGGAGGGCTGGCTGCTTTTGTTTTATATAAAATAAGCCTTCCCCACCACCGCGAAAAACCACAGGATGAACATTGAGGAGAATATCTTATGGAAGGGAAAGATAATGACAGAGGGGAAGAAATAATCAAGTGTACAGAAAGTAACCAATTAGTATCCCACAATCCTGTTCTTTTAAAGAAGAGTTGTATTTGGTTTTCTGTAGAGGAGAAATCCCTGAAATTCTATTTAATTTTAAAAAGCTGGGCAAAATGCAGTTGCTATCAAGTCTCAGTACTTTGAGTAAATTAGTTAGTATTGATACTTTGACTATTGCATGTCGTGACAGAAAGATAACATTGTCTTAGATAAGTTCCTGTGTCTCTTCATTATCTCTGCTGTGTTACTGTGTGTAAAATCACAAGCTATTTTTTCATTCACTTGGAATGCATATGAACAGCTTTTTACCCATGTAGAAAATAGTTGCAAGTTCTTCTGTGTTCACAGGTTTTGAATGCAGTCTGAGTCCAAGAAGTATGAAGAAGAGACACCTTCTCTGCACTGGGGGATGGATCCCATATTTTCTGCATTTGCAAGACTCTATATTAAAGATATAAAAGAAATGAGAGAATCTAAGCAAGTGCCAGGTATGTACTTATATGTGCTGATTATGATGCACACAGAATTAGAATTGATTTATGTTGTGCTCTTTATTGAGGGATTGCTGAATGCTTCACGAACACCAGTAGTTTTCCATGCCCCTAAGCTAAGTGACATTAGTATCTTTAGCATTTCTAAGAACAACAGGTTGTATGTGAAATACATGTGAGAAATAAAATGTGTTTGTTCTAATGGCTTTTCTCTCATTATATATATAGAGAGATACAGAACCTGTTTTACATTAAGGTAAAGTTGTGTCTCCTCTATGTGCTAGTGCTTGTTATATTCTGATAAAGTTAATTCTAAAAATGCTGGTCCTTTCCAGCTATATGTGTTGTATCTTTCCACTGCCTCTTACAACATTTAGGAAGGATTTTATGCCTCTTCTGTTTGTTGCAAAATTTTGACTGTTGATGACATTGCTGGGTGTATGTATTTTGCTTTTTCCTCTGGATGTTAATATATTATAAACCAGATAGAGGTTTTGAGGTGTTGTTAGCTTAATTTGTAGATATGATAGACATATGGCATTCTCCATACATTTGAACAACCTTATTTTAAATTCTGGTATCTGCTGAATCGTATACCACACCTTTTATTGCCTAACCATTGTTGGAAATTGTATGCTTTGCACTCCATTTCCTGCTGGTCTTCAGCCAATATCACCCACATGCATATGTTGTCTAAAGCAACATGGATCTGACCTTGAATTTATTTTCACTACAAAGACTTTAAATAGACTGCAGTATGTTTTCTGCAGTATAAGGGTTCATTACTCCAAGCTGAAGCTTGACAAGGTGCAAGATTATCAGGGAGGAGCCTGAGGAACTTAAAATTAATGAGGAAAAGCAGTAAACCCTAAGCAGAGTGTGTGTTTTTTTAGTTTGGGTTTGGTTGTTTGGTTTTTGGTTTTGGTTTTTTTTTTTCCCCCTTCGCAGAGACAAGGTACATCTGTTTGGCTCTTTGAATGTGCTCTGCCTTGTAGCTTTTGTTATTCTTATTTATTTTTATTTAACAGCAATGATAACAGCAGTGCTATTCTTGCGGAAGTGAAGGACTGGTGGGTTTTTTGCTCCAATCACAACCATTTTTATGTACGTAGGGACTTCACAAACTGCAAAGCCCAGTATATGTACCTCTGTTATTTAACATGATGGGAGACTTTTTTCTTAAATCCACTGCAAGAATTAGGCTACAGTCTGTTGTTCATGTTTGTCCTAAAGTGAGTAGTACTTAGAGGCCTTTTTTAAGTGTGCTGTCTTATAGTAGTACTAGTCTAGCAAATGCATCTGGTAGAAACTATTCCTGCTTCAATTAGAGACATTTTAATGGTTTTCAAACAAGATACAAAACAATTCACTGTCAGCAGAATAGGATTGTAGTTTGGACTTGGACATTAGTACATATACATGCAAAAATATATTCAGAAGAATTAAACTTATAAACATTTTCACAAGAGTAGGAACAGTCCTAGAAAGTACAATCCTGCTCTCTTTTTTTTACCTCTAAATTACCTGAATTTCCCTTCTCACTTCCCTTCCTGTTCTTTTACTTAAGTGAGTTGCCTTCTGCTTCAGGAACTGGTTCAGTTTTGTTATTAGTATTTTTTTTCTAAGATGATCCTAAGGAAGTGGTATCTGTCAAGTCAAGATGTCAGCCTTTAAAATTGGTGCATGCGAGCTTTCTCCACTTCCTGTGCACCTGGCGTTTTGCACAACTAAGTTTGCTTGCAATCCTGTATAATTCTCTAAACCAAGCTTTAAAAATAAAATGAAATTTCATAGAACAAACATCCTGAATTTTGTTCATTCTCCTGGTGCTGTGTATATACGAAACCAGACATCTTTCAGTGTATCTTATTTATTGGCAACAAGTGATAGCACAGCAGAAACAGTTAAAAAAAAAAATATCTTTTTGGGAAGGAAGAAGATAGGTGTTTGCTGTCAATGTTTCCTGCCTTTAATGGGTTTGTTAAAGACCAGCTGAATCTAAGTATATGATTGGCTATAAATCAGTCATTAAGTAATGGTAATTAAGGATGAATGAGTGCAAAACAGAGAGTTGTAACTAGGAGGAATGGAAAGAAACACAGACTGAATGTCAGGAAAAACATCCTTAGAATGACGTCTGCTAAACTGTGGAGCAGCCTTCCCAGGAAAAAGGTGGGATGCCCTTCACTGGGTTTGTTTATATCCTGACTGTACAGATTGCCAGGAATTTACTGTACGCAATGGTCTTGCATCGGCCCTGAGGAAATGGACTGAATGACCTAATAAGTTTTTTTTTCTTTCCATTTTTAAGCATTAAGATTTGATGCCACAATGACTAATCCCTTAAAACAACACAGAGGAAAGCAGTAAACCTGGCCAATTACTCTACTGCTATAAATGGTGACAAGAAGGCTGGAAAACCTCCCAGATAAAAAACAGCAATTGTGTTGTCTTAGAGGCCTTGAAATGAGAGTGGGTGTCAAACTCAGTTGTAACACATAATCACATCATGGAAGTGAGCTTTTCTCAGAGTTATCATGCACCACTGCATTGTGACAGCTTATCAACAAGCAAGAGAAGATACAAATAGCATAAAAGGAGGTAATAATAATTAAAGCGATGGCAAACAGCTCAGTGCTCAGTAATGCTGGTAAAGACATGACCAGAACTTGCCCTAGAGAGCTCTGTATCTATAGCCCCTAAACTGCTGCTGTGGCTTCCTGTTGTGGTAACAGCATATTAATGTACATGTTATTTACTGGGTTACTAGGAGCTTGGCTAAATGTGCTTGCACATAGCTTCAAATGTTTAGTGCATTTTTATTACTACCAATATGAACATAATTTGAACAAATAAGCTGGCAGGAGAAACAATTTACACCTTGAAGTCGTCAAGTTCAACAGCTTCTAATAGTATAAATGTAATTTCATCTTGCAAATGAATTCAGGTAGTTTCTCGGAGAGTAAGGGTGGAGTTCTATGTGAGTTTATGGGGATAGAGAGAACCAGTTTTATCTGGTCTCTGTCGTTTGCCAAAACTCACCTTACTAACGTAATAACATGTTGCTTGTTTGCACAGTCAAGAGCTTGGAGTTTCTGCTGCACACACTTACCCTGAAACTGGCCCAGACCATTTTTATATAGATTTTTGTAAGGTTTAGTAAGAAAGGACCAGGAGCATCTCCACTGAGAATTTCTATTGCAGTGTTTATTGGTGTCCTGGTAAATGGAATGAGAGAAAAGTGGACAGACCTGCTAAACATTCTCTACACCAGACCTGGCCAGTGATTGCACCATTAGTATAGCCAGCTCTAAGATGACAGTGATAGATGCATCCTCAAAATATTGCAGTGGATTTTTATGAGCAGAACTTCTGTTTATGAGCTGCTTGGCTGATCACCTGTGATTTCTTCTGAAACTTTGGGGGTTTTGTCTGTCTTATGTGAAGGAAGTTAATTCCAGGCTCATTTAAGGCTGCCAGCTATGTAGGACAAGTTATTTTTGGATTTTGGTTTTCTTTTTTTTTTTTTAAAAAATGCAGAATATTTTTCTGACTCCGTTGCTGCTGTGGTGTTTCTCTTTCCTTTTGTAAGAATAAAACTTGCCACAGCGTATGGAGCCAAATGTTCCCTTCTGAGTCCCTCGAGTTATCCAGTTTTTAGAAGACAATTATTGAACATCCCAGATGGCATATTTCAGTAAAGCAGCAGTATTTGAAAACTGAAGAAAACACATTGACTGAAAATTAGCCAGTCCAGGATATATCTGGATCTTATTGCCCTATTATCCTCCTGTTAGTGGACTGTGAAGCTTCAGTGTAATATGTTTACGTTGGTGTTTTGTTAACAACATTTTGTCAATCTCTTGAAAGGGATTTGACAGCACTGAGGTTGCCACATGCTCTAAGTCCAGTGGGCTCTGATTCCTCACTGTTTCCTGGGCATGTTTTTGCATGTTATTCTTATTCAAGTCATCTTTATAGATGCACAAAAATACCTTTGAAGGGATGTTTTTAGAACGTGTTATTTCAGAAACTGAAGTTCAGGATGCTGTCCACAATGACTGCATAGCGTACTCCACAGTCTAAGAGGGTTGTTTCTCTCCCTTCACCCCCCGTGGCTCCTGTTCTTTTAGAAATGAAAGACAGAATTATGTTAGTTTTCCTTTTGGAGGGTCTGCCTTAATCGGGAACAGCTGCATTGTGAGAAGCTTAGACTGCTTCCATTGTGTTCTATTATTTATTCTGAAGCCTGCTGAAGATGTAAAAAAAAAAAAAAAAAAATAAAAAAAACAACAAAAAAAAACTCCGCCAAGAAAACCCAAACCAAAATGAAACAAAACAAAAACTAAAAAAAAAACCCTAATGCCTGCAGCAAACAAACTTTTTCAGATCCAAATGTGCAAGAAAGCAAGAGGTTAATAAAGTTCTGACACTCTACAAAAGCAAACTTTTAGTATCCTAACTAGTACTGATACTTCTTCCTTCTAGTATTCTGAGTCCGCACTGATCCAGGGTATTTTTCACGTAACTAGGCATTGTATAATTTAAGATCTATTAAATATGTAAGAAAGTGTGGGTTTTTTACTGACAAATGTGACTATGTAGTGTAGGATGTTGAAAGAAATAGTTACACTTAAGACTGTTCTGTGTCTAGGTATATTCTTTTATAACGGTCATCCAGTGAGACAGGTGGATGTTGTCGGGATAGTAGTTCAAACGAAAGAGCGAGATGCCTTTTACAATTATGGAGGTAAGAAAAGTTTGTTTCTTTCTCCTTGCACTTATCGGCCTTCTAATCTTAGTTACCGTTAGAACTTAAAGGTCGCCTTATTTGATCATTGTCTGTTCTTGAAACAACTGTGCTCTTGTACTAATATAATGTATATCTGCAGTTCAGATTATGTAGCAGACTTAGGGAAGCTACTGTTTACTTCAAAAGTAGAGAAAGAAATAGTTAAAACAGTAACTGACTCATTTGGGATAATCTAGCAAATCTTAGTTTTGGTTATTGCTTTGCCGCTGGACTCCACCATCTTCTTCTCATAAATATATATATGCAGTTCCTTTGGTCAGATATAAATGGATTTAACAGCACCTGCAAAGGGGAAGTCACTTCTTCCTTTTTTTTAAACCTTAGAAATCCCTTCTGACTTTTTATGTTTTGTCATATCTTGGAGCCAGCTTTTAATAGCAGTCAGGAGCTTGTTTATATTTAGATACACAAGAGTCTTAGCAAATCTAACTCAAGCATCATAGTACCAGTCCTTGCCTACACTAGCTGGGAGTTGTCTCCTCCCTGTTGCTTTTCCCAATGTTCAGACTATTTTATTAGCATGGAAACTTGTGATTGTCATTTTGTTCAACTGTCTCTTTCATTTGGAGAAAAAGCAGAGTGCAGTAGTGGTGATGTGACAAGTTTCAAAAGGTGGGGGAGGTCATCTCACAGTAGGAAGAGGGAGCTAAATGCATAGATCCTATTGAAGCACTTGAAGGACTCATGTCCAATGTCTTCATCTGCCATGGGTTTCCACCTCATAGAGGTAAGTCACGGAGTGCCTCTTCTTACCCTATTCCCTCACTTACAAAATTGAGTCAGTAGCAATTCCCTGACTCACAGGAGTATTGCGAAGATACTGTTGACAACTTAACTAGGTCCCAGCTTCCACAACACCTGCAGTTGCGTCATACTGCTGCAGAGTAGCATTAACTGCTAGTGCATATAGCATGCCCTGCACTGGGCGTGGCTGTGCTCCATAGAAATGTCCCTGCAAGTTTTTTAGAATGGACATTTTCTAGATTTTTTTAAGTCTAACTTCTGAATGTTTGTTATTCCCCTGCCGTTATGCTAAATAATGAGTTGACAGTAAATATTCTGAAGCACAAGTTTCTCTGGCACTTGAAGTAGCACAGGCTAAACAAGCACCTAGGTTAAGAGGTGGAGATGTAATTGACGATGTAATGAAGTGTTGAAATACAAGCTGAATGTCAGCTATTATTCTTTTATTGCACTAGTGTGCAAATGCAGTTCTCGTTTTATGAGAACAGAGGAAGGCAGAATCAAAATGACCAGGGCAAAAACAATTCTATGGGCAAGGGTTTCCCACGCTGCTCTCAGCATTAGTTTGGATGTAAACTTTTTGAAAATGTTTGATTGGGGCAGAAAATGGAGGAATAGAAATGAAAAGAAACTGCAGAGCAGTGGAATTAAGGCCTTAGTGTTATGATCAGATGACCTTGAAGTACAGCTCTCAGTGAGCCTGGCTTCCTGCTGTCCTTTCACATCCAACTCCACTCTTTGTTCCAGCAGTTCCTGGTTTGAGCTTTCAGGCTACCTGCCAGGGTGCCGCTCCCCAGCCTGCCCTCCCTTTCAGGCAGGCTGACTCTGCCAGCATAAAATTCTAACTTCTTAGACAGTTTCCTGCTTGTAACTTCTTGCATCTCTCAGTTCAACAGACTCTGGTTGGTGAGTCACAGAGCAGGCGTTGCATCAGTTGGAGTGACGCACACTGCTTGGTACTTGCTCACTTTACTCCATCTGCTTAAAAGTGACTTACAAAGCAATTCCCCCTTTGTACTTTTTCTCTGATAGAGAACTGAAATGCCTTTGTGTCACTGCCACCATCTCCCTCCCTCATTTCCTATCTGTCTACTTCAGAATACACACTGCTCATTTTAAGACAATCTTAGGTCCTCTCTGTGCTGAAAACCATACAGCCAGAACTGGTGACAAAATAATAATTGTAAAAGATGGTGAATTGACTCTTTCCTGGCTTAAAAAAAAAATAAAAATTACATGCTATGTAAAACCTGATTTTGACATTTTGATTTGATTGTTTATTGCTGCTACTATGATCAGTTGGGAGAAGGATATCTAATTAAAGTAGCTTTGAACAAGCTCATATTTTAGCTAATGCACCTTTCTGACCTCTTTTTTTATTTCCTTTTCTTTTTAACAAAACCCAACATCACATGTAGTTTTCCTTATACTCCAGAACTGTTTTGAAAGGCACTTGCCTTAAAAACAAATGAAACAAATCTCACCAGGATCTCAGTCGGCTCATGCAGGCCCTACAAGAACCATACCCTTTTTGTCATAAAGAAATAAAAATGAACACAATTATCTCATTTACCAGGTCGCTTTGAGAGTGCTACCACTCAAACAGTTAATGTAAGAGACAAAAACAAACACACACAACCCCCCCACACACACACATACACACAAAAACCAACCCCAAACCCCCAAAAAACCACAGAAAAACCCAAAAAACAAACCCATGAAAAACCAAACGAACAAAAGTTTAAACCCAAGGAGATGAGGAAGGGGAGCACAGGAAGTTTTCAAAAGCTTGTAGGCCCCTTGAGTGCATTTTAAATAGATTGACATTCTCCTGTCTAATTAGAGTACAATTTTAGGAGTTCTCATTCATCTGTGCTTCAGGAGTTATTTGTCTTTTTGCTCAAAGCTTTTATTGGTGAACTGGAAAAACTTACAGAGCCTTGCTGTGCTACCAGATTCCCTGTGTGGTCAAGAACAGGTCAATCTCTCCAGGACTCCATTTTCAGCTGTTACATCAATGAGGAGGCGTTTGGTCTCCTAATCCTTCAGTCTTGTTGGTTTTGTTTCTAAGCCCTTCTTAGGAAGCATATCTGTCACAGTTGGTGCCACAGCCAGTCGCAAGCTGGAACATCTAGAAGCTGCAGTACTGTAATAGTGAAATATCATCTGCCCTGTTTCTTATTGCCATTGCTGGCTTGCATGAATGGCTTGGCATGGTATATAGGGGCTCTGACTCCTACTGAAATAGTTGCTTTTTGTCTATACCAAGGAAGGGAAATCCTACCAGCTAGATCATTATCTGTGCTTTGGTACAAAATTAAAGCTGCTGAAATAGTTGCAGACACAGCGGCTCAAAATGGGGATAGCAATGAGATGAGCATACTTTTGTGATGGAATTTGGAATTGCCTGCATCTTATAAATGCTGTAAGTTTGTTATTATGAATGTGCAGCTAAGCTACCGGGAAACAGGAAGGCAAGAAAATAATTTAAAATTGGACCCCCCAAATAGGGAAATTGTTTCAAAACATGTGAGACAATGCAAAGGCATTTTGCTTTGATGCTATGGTTCCCAAAGGAAACGACTGAAGGTACCAATCAGCACCTTCCTGGTAAACATTACTGTTACTTTTGTAGTCATGGATCTGGTTTAAGGAGCAGAAGAAAATTGCAGATTCCAGTCTGTGAAGAGAGGAAGCTGAGTCTTGGAGATGGTTACATTCAAGGAGCAAGGTGCTTGGAGTGTTAGCTGGATATGAAATGTGGTCCTCGCTGTGGTTTGACAGACATTTAGTACCTTTTTATTTAGAGAGTGTTTGTTGGATGTGCCATCTATATACAGTCTCTTGATCTGTAGAACAATTGATTCTTCTGATTAGTTTCTTAGTTTTCTTTGGGTTTTATCTTTTTCTGCTGTCCTTGACAATGCAGTGCCTGGGACAGAAATTGCAAAACTTATTTTGCTTGGGTCCTGCAAAACAGGAAAAGCTAGATAGCTCCCGTGCTCGGGAGAAGGTATTAAGCTTTTCTGGCAATGGAAGTGGCTTGCATGCCACTGGTGTGTATACTTTAAGTTGATACTTCCTGGCGTAGAGCAGAACCACAAGTATGTCCTCTGTCCTTCCTGCCTGGAGAAGCTGCCTTTCTGTTCTCTGGGACATCTTCTTGTACAGAAAAGGCCAGCAGACTTCGTGTACAATATTAGCATGGAAACCAATGCAGCTGGAGGTAGCAGCACTCCTAGTCTATTCACATGACTGTAGCCCTCAGTGTTGAAGTGCTGTTTTCTCACTGTTACAGTAATGCTTCTGTGTTTTGTGTCTGGTTTCCTGTTTTAATTTGTCTGGCTTCAGCTTTCGACACTGATTCTTCTTCTGACTTTGTCAATGAGATTAAAACCCTTTAGTATCCAATATATGTACTGAAGCCTCATAATTTAAATTAGCACTTGATCTTTTTTTGAGAATATACCTGTTACTTTGCTGACCATGCACATAAGCATGGTATCTGATGCTAAGCTACTTCCGTGACTGAAACGACTGTGGAGATTATTTCAGAGGTATAAGTAGGGGTTGAGTACCCACTTTCCCTTTCGTACTCGTTGGAACGAGATATGCTTGGCAGTTATCTCCCTGCATATCTGTGTATCTTCACTTCTTGGAATATCACTACCTGCTTTCTTACTCTGTAATTCTTGCATATTTTTTTTTTTTTACAGTGGATGATAGTACTGGAGTCATAAATTGTGTCTGCTGGAAAAATCCTATGGTAGCACAAATATCTTTATCAGGTAATTTATCAAATAAATAATTCCCCTTTTGACTGTATAACACTTTTGCCATATCTGTCTTACATAATTTAGTAAATGATCAAACTTGTGGAAGAGCAAATTCAACTTGTAAAATTTTAAACTGTCATATTCTACAGCTTGGGACATTTTGGGAGTTGCGTATTACTTTTTGTGTTGCATCCAATGTTGATGCCAATAAACCCACTCCGTTATGACCTGTCATGCCTTTTCCTTACCTGAGTAATATGGTATTTCAATTCTGTGCTGTGACATTATTCAGAGAATCCTCTTAATGTTCTTTTTGTGACTTCATCTAGTGAGAAACTATGCTGGAAATCTGCCACATGCCACAACTTCTGTTTCCAAAGTCAATCCATTGACCAGCAACCTGGTATATGTTCCCCACCCTTGTGATACAGTGGTTTCAGGATTCATCTTCTCTTCTTTGTTTGCATTCATATTCTCCTCCTGCTCATGCATGTACTGTCAGTGATGAACTTGAAAGTAGCTTAAAACACAGTGGCAGTATGCCAGCAGTCATCCTCTGTTTGGGAAAGTTCTAAATGTGCAGAAATTGTGCATTTGAAATGAATCTATTATTGTGTTCAGTAACAGAACTCACTCGTGTCTGGCTTTCTCTTTGCTTTTTCTCCCACCATCTCTCATAGGTCAAAGTATGGAATATTTTGGACCTTCTTGAAAGCTCAAGTAGTAGGTTACAACCCTGATATGGAGCTGTTCAAACCCTAATGAAATAAATATTATTACTATCATCTGCCAGTGTTAGGGTTACGTACGTATAGAATGAGGAAAGGAAAACTTGATGTAAAAGTTAAAACTGATGTCTGTATAACAAGTCCATTTATACAGATAGATAATTCATACTTACTTACATTTAACAATGATATGACAAGTGGTATAGATGATCCTAACTGGAACAGGAATCTAGAAGACAGCTCTTGCTTTTAGAGAGGTGATGCTGTGGCACAGCTTTCCAAAAAAATAATGGTGACCCACAGTCAAATCAGTTTTTTATGAGGAACTTAAATTCATTAAAGAAATTGCATTAAATACTGCTTGAAATAGAATGAGGATTGAGAATGCTTGTTTCAGCCTTGCGTTCTTATTTTACATGTACATCAGTAGTGCTTGAATGGACACTCTGTTATGAATGGAAATTAATTAATTTATACCTGCTAAAGAAAACAGCTCCTAGGGGGCACAGGAGACTCTCTTCCAGCCTTTTGTAATTGTAACCAGGGATACTTTGATCATTATTCAGGTTTTAAATTATGAAGAATTTACTCTTCTGCAAAGGTGTGTTATGTAAATGTGAAGTTCTGTCAAGTTGCATTCACCTCAATGTAGACATCAAATTGCATCACATGAATACTTTGGCCCCACCTCAGATGACTCATTCTTCTTTTATGTAAAAAGTTCAGCTGACCTTTCTTTTCCCCTCTCATCCATCTTATCATGACAAAATCAGAAAACGAAGAAACCCATTTCAAATTAAAATTTCCATTTTGCAACTCATCTATGACATTTTCAGTGGTAAACCAGTATCTCCTCCCTTTTACGCTTTCCCCAGGTGAACTGTTTAAATAAATCTAATACTGTAAACTAACTTTGTCACTCAAAAGTTTTGCTACCCAGGACACATGGTGCCTGGGACCTTACCCCTTTTTTAATAATGACTCCTGTGATGCTTAGGTGTTTGGTTGAATGCAAAAGGACAGTCCTCTTGGCCTGATCTCCTTTCCCTCACTTCTTACAGGTCGTCCAAGCACACCCAACAGTCTTACTGTGCTTGAACAGATGAAGAAACTCCAAGAAATGGTGAGCCAGAAAACCAAGCTGGAGATCGGGGATGTTGTCAGGGTTAGAGGTCACATCCGAACCTATAGGCAACAAAGAGAAATCCAGGCTTCATGTTTCTGTGAGTGTTATGGATCTGTGATGTACATAACTTAGTTGTCTGAATTTGTGAGATCTAAGCTATATGTAATTCATTGAATAATTTCCACTTTATTTTCTGGCATCTCATTTTTCTAAAGAGATTTTAATCTGTATGTATTTCAATTTTAGCAGTGTAAGGTAAGAAGACACACTACTTAATGTGTGGCATTAGATTGCCTGTCAATGAGACATTCCTGGAAAATCTATAAAAGTTGACTAGCACACATACAAGAATACTATGCAGATACTGTGGTTGGGTATCTGTGGGAGTGACTTGCTCTTCCGTTTTCTTTGTGTTGAAGTAGAACAGCCAAAGCCCATGGAAAGGGAGTTGGTGACCTTTTATGTTACACTTGTTACACAGTATGTTACACAGAAGTGTGTTAGCTGCTCTGGAGAAAATGTTGCTGTTTGCTGCAGTTTCTGTGATCCATTCCATGGGCAGACAGCAGAGTATAAGCACATTGCAGCACTGAAGCCCAGATTCTCTTAACTCTCTGGCTCTGAAGAATGACTGAGAAGTGTTCCTCATCTTCAGTCAGCTGGGCACAGATCTGCATGCAGATGTGTCTGACAGATCTTTGGGCAGCAGGGTTCTGCAGTCCCACTCTTTACACCCTAGGAGATGCCAGTTATGTAACTTCTTCTCTCCTCCCTGTCTGTGCTGTTGTGTAAGAGTTGGTTTTCCCCAGTGAAATCTTTCAGAGACAATACTGAAATGATTCCTTTGGTGGAGGGAATCCTGTCTTTTAAAAACCCTGTGCAACTCAGATAAAAAGCCTAGATTTTTCAGCTCTAGCTAAAATCTGAGAGGGAATTCAACCCTTCTATCCAGACAGAAGATTTATGAATATATAATCCACTCAAAGGCTGGCAATAATACCATTGTTTCATTAAAGGAGAGCCACGCAATTCAAATAGCCTCTAATTTGCTTTCACTTTGGTCCAAATAAAGCTCCTTACTATGTGTTAAATTCATCTAATGGATAAAGACTGCTGAAAGGTAAAACAGAGATCATAAATTCCAGTTAATTAAGTTGTCAGACAAAAGCATAATCTGCAATGCACCACAATAGGTCATTTACTTCTTGTAAACTGTAAAAGCGGGAGTGGCCTTTGTGGTTTTGTTTTTATGAAAACAATAGCGAACAAAATTTGCCAATTTAGTACTGGCATGTGAAGCTCTGTTGTGCTGCCTCAGGTATGCTTGCTTGAAAGATTGGTATGGCAGTCCTGGCCAAGTATGTGTGTTCTTTTTGCCGCTCCAGATAAAGTGGATGATCCTGTGTGTGATGTTCAGATTTCAAGAATGCTGGAGCTGCCCTTTCTCTATAGAGAAGTTTATGATAAAACTTTCCGAGGCCCCGAGGAGGGACAGAGGTAAATGCAGTATCCAGACTGGTCTTGGGGCAAGATGTGGGATTTTTATTATTATTTATTTGTTATTGTAATAACTGTGGAGAAAGTTAGAATGGGGCCGAGCTGTGATTTAGACTGCACAGGCATACAGCAGCAGCCTGCTTTTCTCCCAAATAATCAATGATCCTTACAGATGACATACCTGTCCATAATCTGAGAAAAGAAATATAATGCTGAACCAAAGTCAACATTGGGAAGGTAGTAAAATACTGTGTACAGACCTCTTGCATCTAGTAAAAAAAGCTGGGGTTTTGAGCAAGATTTGTGGATGAGGTTGACAAATTAGATGGAGTAGTGTCCTTGCCTTATTTTATGTGTGACGTTAAGGAGCTATTCCATCGAAATGTTCTCAACTTCTGCTGCCCTTGTCATTGTCAAATCACAAATACATAACCTCAATAAACTGAGTCAAACACCCATTCCTGTATTCTGTTTAAGGGTAGCGGGATGCTTATTACCAGGTCTGATGCATGTAGTGTGTTTTCAGACATTGCAGGTCTTAAAATCACAACACTGTTACAGCAAATGTTTGAAGAGGAACAGTCGAATGTTTATTGCATATAAAAATGGTCTGTTTTAATTAAGAGTTTAAATTCAGATTCTTTAAGGACAGTAAAATACCTTTTGACCTTTGAAAACCAGTCTAGCAGGCTGGTTCTAAAAAAGTCTAGCATTGTTCTAAAAAATGTTAGTAGTATATTTCTTGCCTTTTGACATGTCCTATGTATCTTTGTAGTGACCTGGAGAGTCAGAATTTCTCAATCAATATGCTGCATGAGAAGGTGAAAGGCTTTCTATTAGAAAACAAAATTCAGACCTTTTACCAACAGGAGTTGGAAACAATTGATACTCTGGTATCGCTGGCTGGTGTGCATCTCCCCAGTCCCAGCTGTCAGGAGGTGAGTGAATGTAAATGTTTCAAGGTTTTAGTTGGGGGAAATAATACCATGTACTTTTTTCAAGCATAAACAACCACATGAGAGACTGGTGACTTCAGAGGATTCAAAACACACAAGTGCTTTAGCTTTAGTTTAATGCATGAATTATTTACAGAGCTTGAGGAAACCTTGTCATTTGAGACATATAAAACTGAACTGAACAAAGCCATATGAGAGAATTCTGTTGTTAAGGGTAATCTTATATTAGGGCTAAGTAATCTTACAGTCTACAACAGGCACTAACTTACCTAGAGCTGTAAATAGTGGCAGCATCGGCAAAGGAGATGCCTTTAAGGTGCTTGAGCTGTTTGGGACAAATGTTTGAAATTCTGAATTCGATCAGGAGAAAGGAGCACAAAGTCTTTGTCTTATTTGTCATTTGAAGCTCAATATATTAATAGAGATGCAGCTTTCAGAAGGAGATTATAATGAGTGGATGAACAGTGCTCCCTGCTACATGTTTCTCTTGTTGGAAATCCGTAGTCGTGAAAGGCCATGATTGAAAGGGTCAGAAGGTGGGATTTAACTGAAATCAGTTTACATGCAATTGCATGTAACCAAACTGTTAAGAAACTTTCCAGTGATATAATATACTCTTAATCAACTGCAGAATGGGAAATAGAACAAAGACATTTGTTGAACAAAATGGCTTCTTATTACTCTGTGTCATTTGGATAAATTACAAACCAGATTCTTGACTAGTATGAAGTGGTAAATTTCTGCAAAAGTAATGGAGTTATGGCTTTTAACATGTTACCAATGGCAACTGAAACTTAAACTAGTGTTGTGACTCACTTGTTTACTTTTTGGTTTTCTGTACAGAAGTAAATCCATGGCAGTCATTTTCACTGCCTGATTCTGATATGCACTGTAAAGTTAGGTGCTATGTTATGTTAACATATGATGTTTGTTTAATTTAAGAAAAAAAAAAAACACCCCCCACAAAAAACAGTCCCTTGTAGATGAGGTCAAATAGTAATGAAAAGTAGCTCTATTCTTGATGGCCTCATTGAACTGCTTCTGATAGCTGCTTCTTGATAGCTGTTTCTTTTATTTTTATTAAAGACTTTTTTTTTTTTTCTGTAAAGCAAGCATGGATATAAACAATAACAGGAGCTAGTCTCATTTTTGACAGAAAAATTTGATACTAGAATATCCAACATGGGACAGGGTATTTTTTCTAAACTATCTGGAACAGTATTAAAAGTTCCCAAACACTTTACATTAAAGGAAGTAGCGGTCATTGTGACTAATACTGGAAACTTCCATCTTTGAAGTTTCAGCATTTATAGAAAGATGAAGATAATAACTTGCAAAGCCATTTAAAGTAGGAACTGGTGCAGAACTTAGGCACAAAAAAAACCCCATAACCAAAAAACCCAAACCAACAAAAACAATGCAGCATCAGCATAGTTAGCAGTCATGAGGAGCTATCATAATAATTAATAGTTGCTCTTGACCCTGATGCAAGGGTGTGAGTATATGTCCCAGGAATTTGGGCACACAGATGCTCATTTAGAAATTGCAGTTCTCCCTATTGCCCTTTGGTGTTAATTCCGTGCAAAGAGGCTTATACGTCTTTGCGTAAGAAAGAACCTGCAGTTGTCAAGTGACCTGAATGCCTTAAGAGGAATGCCTAGTAATGCTCTGGAAATGCATTTCATTGTTCCTCTGCTCTGTCTCTTGAAGGTGTCACTCCTCATAATTAGCAAAGAGTCAAGTACTCAGTTTGATCCACAAAAATAAGTGTAATAGATCTGATTTCTGTCCCTCTTCCTTTCTTTTCCCCCTCTGTAGATTTCTGTTTTGCATTGACCTCAATCCCAAAGGATAAAGGATGCAGCTAATGTGGAAAGATGTTATTTCATGCCTATTTGGCAAGGCAGAAGCTAGATGAGTGGACCAAACTAATTAGGCCACACCACAATATACACATTTGTTCATTTCTTGTACTTTTCCTTGATGTGAAAGGATGAGTTATTTGGATGTGTAACTTTTTTCTTTTTTTTTTTTTTTTTTTTTTTACCCTGATTCCAGTGTTCCAGAGCACTGTTGCTATTAAACTCTTTTCTTGCCTCTCTTTTCCGTTCCCTGTTGATCTTAGGAGATGTGGTGCACCACATTCATCTCTTTCCCAACTTTTAAAGTACTTGCACAGTGTTCATCGTAGTGGGAGGGTATCTGCCCATGGAATATTTTCTCCTGCGAGGTGGTAAACTGCTATGGAGTCACTGGCAGTGGTAGCTGGGATAGCTTGAGGGAGGCAGCATCTCTCTATTTCTTTTCAGCATTACTGCACCTGAGCCCTGTCCACAATCCATACATGTCCTACAATACCTAGTTCCAGTTCTAATGGCTCCCCAGCAGTGCAGTCTTCTCACTCTCCAGAATAAATTTCCGTCTAGCAGATGCACATGGCAGAACTCCAATCATGTCCTCTGCTGAGACATATATTAGAGAACATTTAATTTTATAGTGTATAGAGAATGGGTAAGAGATTTGTAAGGCTTACTGTTTTTAAAAGTACTTAAAAATTAACAAATCTGTCATGATTTTTTAAAACCAGTGGAGCTTTATTTCACACAACCAGTGCCCCCTCTGTCCCTCAGCTGTAGCCTTACTCTTATTCCTTAAAACAAGTTACTTTTCAAACTGGAGGGGTGGGTACCACAAGGAAGACTACAAGCAAAAAACAGGAAGAGTAATCTTGTGCTTGGAGAACCTAAAGAGTATACTTGCTGGACTTAGGCAATTATGTTTGGCAAATGGACAAGCCTTTAGTTCCTTTTTTTTTTTAAAAGAAAACTACATGTGAACTTGATCCATCCAGTTTCTCAACTGGATTAAATACTACTTGCAACCAGCCAATGTTGATTAACCATTTTTATGCACTTCTTCCATGCATAAGCTATAGTGTGTGCTATTTTAGTATTACCGTTCCAGTTTGTATATGTCACTAGCTTCGACACATAACTGGGGTTGTGCTTTCCAGACTCTGCTGTTTGTACTTCTTTTGATTTGAATATTACCTCAAGGTTAGCAATGACAAGCAGGGAGTTTTACAGTGTTGTTCATGCTTACTGTATATACCCTGTACATTGTACTGCAGGTATAAAATAGTGCATTATACATTCTTGATGCTATGTGCTTGTTTTCCTGCCTCTGGTAGAAGCTTCACTGCTACTTTAAATAGGTATATTGCAAAGCTTATTATAGGACTTCAGGACTGAAATGTTCAGAATCACTATTACTAAAGTTGTCACCTGTCTAAGCTAAGGATTAAACATTGCATGAGAAATTGCAAAGGGCAATTCCATGAGTAGAATCACGTGTGTGGTTATACCAGGAAACTTTTAACACCATCAGGGTGTGTTGTGATTCATAATGAGCCAAAGGTTACATACTTTCAATGGTTTGAACAGACTGACTAATTCTTGTACCACTTCATTCTTTGACCTGTTATTGATTGTACAGAGAGTTTGTCTTGTTTTAAAGATCTGAGAATAACTAGTTGCACAGCACCAGCCCACTAAGCTGTATGAAACCCATCAGATGGAATATATTGATTAAAATACCAACTTAATTCTGGAGACATGGATTCTTCTGTTGGCTTTGCTACAGAGTCCTTGGCTCATCTTGGGAGGGAGGGTAGTGATGGTAAAATTGTTATTTAATAGTTGCTTCTCTCTCTGGGGCAGGGGAGAAACATGTTTTGCAGAAGTAATGAATGATATTTGAATGCTCCTGTGTTTGGATGAACAGCTTCATTTATTTGCAAAGGACCTGATTTGGGAGAATGGGGGAACCCCTGCTGTTAGCACTTCAGGGAACCTGAAATTGTGCACCCTGAAACTAAGGCGTGCCAAAGCGGGACACTTTGCAAATTGAGATGTGAACATTGAGAGGTGAATTCAAAATCCAGATTCACATCTTGCTGGTGTTTTGGATAAGCAGTTAAACTACTTAATATCTGAATTTCTTAGATGAAAAGCTTTGTAGAAGTGAAGTGATGGCTAATAAACTGTGACTCAGAAGAAACTACGTTAACAGCTACAATACATCTTTATAACTGTTGAAATGCAAGCATTTTTCAATCTCCTCCTGAAACAAAAGCAGGGATGTGAAATCACATAGGATTTCATATTCCTAGATTTCTTCTTTCTGTGTATAGCCCCATATTCAGTCTCCTGCAGATTTCTGCTCAGTAGACTAAATCACAAGCTTAGGTGTACATTGCCTTTAAGGGGAGATCCAAGTCCAGAGGAAATAAGGGCCTGGTTTGGCATAAAAGAAAGTGATAAGATATTGGGAAAAAGTACTCTTGACTTAGGAATTTGCAGGATGAGATTTTGGAGATATGTTGGGTGGACCAGAAGAACAGATTAAGTAATTTTAGATTATGTTCACAACGAAACTCCTCAATTGTTGCTTTACTTGGAGGGATGGAGAGGAGGAAGTGTGTTCTAGAACACACTAGGGAAAAACCCCAAACTTTTCTTGTCACTTCAGGGTAATATTAAAGCCCCTGAAGAGGGCAGGAGCCCTCATTTGTTCTTCAGGAATGGTCCTTCTGCCATGGAGCCCTTTCCCTTGGACTCTGCAGCACGTATGAGGGTGCTGATATGTAGCAGCTGCTTGCTTATTTTCTCGCTCCCAGGCCTGCCCCTCTGCCATCGCTCTGTCAATGTCTCGACTTGCATTCTTAGTGGTTCTGTTTCAGTATCCATCCAGGCTGAGCTGAGTGTCAGTTCCCACAGAGTCTGTTTTTAATTATCTCCCTTTTCTGACAGGATCTCAGTGTTAAGCCAAACTGAATAATTATTATGCTTCTTTGGAGATATTTTTATCTTTTTTTCTCCCGAAATGTTTGCTTTCACATTAAAAATTGATTAGAGTCTTGAGGTGGTTGCTTTGTTAGCAGTTTCTTAGATTCTTCAGGACTTATTACTGCATTTGAGTGAGAGGCAACGTCTCTTCATTTTACATTTGGGTATGAGAATGTGCTTTTCCATGAGAAAACATTCACTATTCACTTAACCCTTCCTGCTACTTTTTGTTTGTTTCTTCAGTTCATCAGAAGAGGCACTATGAAGAGAAATACAATAGTGGAATTAACGCCGTGACTGGAATGATGTCCAGATGTATGGTCAAGTTTGTAATTAGAAGCAGTGTCTGTTGTTATCCAAACTGATATAGCTGTGGTGAACGGGGTACAGACAAACGTTCAGGCCTTGAAGTCCTTCAGTCTGGAACAGAAGAATAAAACTGAACTGAGAATAATAGCCATTGTTCTGTGTTAATTATCTTGAACTATTAGGCAATTATTTTTCACTGTTGATTTGAGAGGAAGAAGATAGTTAGCTGTTGTAGGACAGAAAGAGAGGAGATGTGACTATGGCCTGTTGAAATATTGAGGATTAGCTGGAGGAAGGAGATGGAGAAACTTGTGATGCATGCTAATGCTAATATCCCTATTGGATCTCTGAACTATTCCCAGTTAGACACATCAGCTTCCAGGCTTAGAAACAGTTGGCGTTTCACCTGAGACTTGCAAAGGGATTGAATTAATGTCTTGTGAAAAGATATTCTTCCATTGCTAATGTGGTGTTTGTTTCACATATTCATGTGATTTCATTCTTGTGCAAGGTGGTTGCCTGTCTCACTCCCAAGGCTTCTGTGAGGGCATCTGGTGAGTGAAGTAGGATATGTGAAGTTTGATGCTTTTGTTCAGAACAGGATGGGAGCATTTACAGTGATAGTTGAAGAAATGGTTTGGCAAATCCTGCTTTGGTTGCTCTGGTGTGGTTTTAGTTATCATATGTTAGTTTGTGGGAAGCAGTTTAGCTCTGTTCTCAAAGAAAACCACAGGGAGCACAGTGTGCTCCCAACAGATGAGGAATCAATAACTGGGGAATTGAAGCGGTCTGTGTAGATAAAGGGGAGGCTGAAAGATATAGTAGGACAGATAGAGATGGTGAAGAGTAGGTCATGGTCTTGCTTTTATCTACCCATACTTTCTCCTCTCCGCAACTGATTCTTTATTTCCTTCCACTTCCCTAGCTGTCATTCCACTGTCTTAGCTCTGTTCTACTTCCAAACAAACCCTGCTTTTCCCTGTTTTCTCCCCTTCCTTCCTTCCTGCTCTGTTAGATGTGTCCCAAACACAGAACCCTTTGTTCTAAATAACCTCCTCAGTTATGGACTTCCAGGCAAATTGTTCTCATTTCACAAGAGACTGTTTCCCACCTGCCCTCAAAACTGAATCCTTTGTTCCTTTATCTCATATACCTGTCTTAATTTCTTGCTTGCTCTTCAACCTTTTATTTCATTAGGCTGTGGAGAAAGTCTGGAGAGCATGACCAGAATGTGTGTAAATATTTGAGAATGAAGGGGTCAAGAAACAAATACTGTGCTTGCCAGTTTCTTCCTTTTCCTTGGACACTTCCTCAGTTTCAAATTGGGAGATAGGAACCCAATCCCCAGCACTTGGATTCCTCCTGAATATCACCGTACAAAGCACTGATCTCCCTATCTTCCCACACTTATTACCGGGAAAACTCCAAATATGAGCAAAGCTTGATTAGCTAAACAGTCAAATGCTCTGTGAGCATCACAAGCCTATTCCAGAAGAGAGTTCTCAGTACATAATCAAATAGCTCCTAGATACAAAGATGGCAGTTAGGAGATTGAGTTAGGAGATTGTGGTTCCTTAAGAATAGTACAAGCTTCTGGTGTATGTATGTTTGTTTGTTTTAAAAGCTATGGGATGTTGGTTAGTTCATACATAACAGATATGATTTGTGAATTACTAAATGAAGAAAAATGTGTAACAAAATCACCTGAAGTCCTCTTGCTCTTGAAAGCATCTGGAGCTTTTGCTGGTAACTTTAGTTGAGCTGAGATTTCTCACAATCTGTTTCATTCCTTTATTCCCATCTAGGTGAAGTCAAAAAGTAACTCCAGTTCCAAAAGGATTCACAGTGTTTTTAAGGAAGCAATAAGGATGCTACAAGAAAAAGGGGTGGTTTTCCAGAAACCTAGTAGCTCCAAGGACTTATACCATGTAAGGAACTGAGCTGTGGTTGCAAATAAGTTCATGGGGATGACTTTGATAGTCAGCAGAAGCGGTAGAAATGTTTCAGAAAGAGAAGCTGGACTTCCAAGTGCTGTCTGTTTACTCAAAAGTCTTATCTGCAGCTTACTTCACTGTTGCTTTTATCTCTGTATCATCCACTGATTTGATCTTTTTGTAACTCAGCACCAGACTTAAGCACTGCTGCTGTTCCAAGCACAGTCTGTGTTCACTGGGTTCCCAAACTGTGCGCTGATGCAGCTGAGCACACCGAAGCCTGGGACCTGGGACAGTTCGCTTTATCGAAGTGAATTGAAACTTGGTGTTCTGCTAAAGTGGTCACCCTCCTTCAGGTTGAATTCTGTTATATCCTGTTCGTTGCCTAACTCATGGATGCTGCTAATGGTACTAAAACTAATAACTGAACATTTAATGTTCGTTATTAGTCTTGGAGGCAGTATATAATGCAGACTGTAGTTACGACAGTGTTAGTTTAGAATACGTCATAGCCTTGGATTGCTTTTCAACAGCCATGCCATGTACTGTGAAATAGACTGCTAGACATTGCCAGTTTCTTCTGTTTTCTCCAGGTGACTGACCATGATAAGGAGCTGCTTAAAGTGACCCTTGATGTGATTAAAGAAGACTGTCGAAAACCCAGGCGTAAGTAGCAGCGTGATCAGGGCTCTGATGAGCTGATGCTGATATATTGATGACAATATCTCCTCCTGCTGCTGGATTAGATACGCTTCTTGTCCTTACCCTTGAATTTGCAGCTAAGTTGCTGGTGTAGCTAATCAGTATAGCTAAAAGCAGGAGTGCAACAGCAGCTTCCTATGAGCATGGAGAGAGAAGGACCAGGTGTGCCCAGCAGGAAGCAAACTTCTCATATCTGAAATAAACAGCCATTATCTTAGATCTATATCTTTTGAGAATACTTAGATTTTGCAAGGAATCAAATGTAATGAAGTTAGGTTAGCACCTAGCAGCTGTTGCTTTGCATTCTAGATAAGTAGCAAATCTTGCTAGTTCAGTTCCTACAGGGGAGTTGACACAAAAGTGACCGTACAGAAAGGTGAAATCCCCACCTCCATTAAGTCAATAATAAAACTTACTTAAGTCAGTAGGATATTCTCTGTAGATTTTAAACTCAGGTAGAGCTGAGGTGGTTGTTCTTTGCAGGTGGGGATTTCAGTCTAACAAAATCCACTTCTTTTCAGATCACGTACCTCATGTGTCTTCTGAGTTATCACTGTCCCTCAAGCCTGTTGTGTCTTACTGCCATAGTAATAGCTTGTGCTTGACTTGAATGTCTGCTAATTACACAGGTACATTGCTACAGAGTTTCATTCAATCCATTGGGCAGAATGTGTCAGCAGATGCAGGAGTGCAGCTATTTGTGGGGTCGAATGCACTTTTGTACGGAATAAATGACTGACTAGAACATAAGCCATATAATCTCAAATTGCTCATATCCTTATACTATCATAACTATGATAGTGCTTGCGGGGCCTAGTATACGATGGTTATCCTGCAGTGAAAAAAAGCTAAGTAGTATTAAAGTAGTATTATTTTTGAGTTTTCAACTGGCTGCCTTAAGCAGTGATACAATTGTTAGACAAGGTTGTAGGTGGAGGTAAAAGTTCTGTGTCTTTGGGGGATGGAGGGAATGGATGTTACCAGGCATGCAGGTGTGAAGATGGGCTTATTTGCCTGAGGCTGTTTCAATGCAACAAGTTACCATATGACATTGTTTTCTTGTCTTTTATCCAATTAACAAATACAAACATCTTCTCTGTAAGAGTCAAATCATTCCTCTGCCCATTTTATACATCTGCTAGTTCTCCTAGGAACCCTATTTTTTTTTAATAATTGTGCAACTATAAAAGCCAGAACCTGTATACAGTTGACACAGCGCACTGAGCAACTGCCTGGTATTTAACTCCCCTCCTGTGCGTTATCACACCGGTAACATATTCTGTGCTGCATGAGAGGTTGGCAAGTTCTTTCTCCCTGTCAGCAGGAGTCAACAGCAGAGAGAAACTTGTAGATCAGCCACAGAAAAGACTTTGAGTCCTGAGTCCTCAAACCCGTATTTTCCATACTGAGCAGGTTAAAAATAGCAACTGCTTTGCATAGTCTCTTATTCTCCTTGAAGCTTTCCACATACTTGTAAAGAGGACAATTTCCAGGTCAGTGTCTCTTTGCTAGTTTTCAGAAGGACCATTTCAATGTCCTGGTCACTAGGAATAGAATATTTTGAGAAGAAAAGCAAAAAGCTTCCATCAAAACCAACAGGGTACTGCGGTTATTTTGTCGCTGAATGATGCAAGAGCGCAGAGCTCAATGTAACTGTTGGGCCCCCCTCTGCTGGTGGGATGGCAGCCTGAGCCACTGCTTGACCTTGACTAGGGAGCAGGCTCGTAGTGAGAAAATAAGAACTGGTAATACCGCAAAGGCTTTTTCTTGTTTATTGCAGGAAATTCCTACCCATTTTCCTTCAAGAGTAATATTAATCTTCCATGACAGGAAGACTGATTTATGATAAACCAAACTCTTCTCTCCAATGAGTGAGTTCTCTGTCTGTTTTCAAGGCAATGCCTCACCCCATTGCTTTAGTTGTGACACGTTCTCAGGCCCAACCCCGCTGCCTGGAACTATTGTACAAATAAAAAAAATCCTTAGTGTGCTTAGTCAGAGCTCCACAAACCCTGATCTGTAATATGCCTACATGACAATCCTGGTCCTTGGCTCCAACTGTAATTCCAAACAGCCGATCTTAAATGCCGTCATGCGAGGCCACTGTGGGTCTATCTAGGGGCTTAAGATAGCCAGAAAAGGATGACGGTACATCACTTTGACTCCAGACTGAACTGCAAAATACTAGACTTAGTCCAGATTTGGTTGGTTTTGTTTTGGTTTGGGTTTTTTTGACAAATTTGCTCTGGTTTTAGGCTTAGATGAGGCAAATAGTAGAGAGGGAAAAAAACAGAATCACTTGAAGTTAAATTTAATATGTCAGAATGGACCCTGCGTGAGATGTCCACAGCAGGCAAATGGTAGTTGTTAGATAACTCTGTCCTCTTTGATATTGGTAATCAGGCAAGACAGTTAAACACAGCCTGGCTTACCTCAGCTGGTAAACAAAAGCTAGAGCCCAGTATTTCAATGAAAGAGGGACAGCATCACTCCACTGCAAGGAGCATATTCCCTCAAAGTTGGGCCGTAGACTAGGAGTGTTTCTGCATTACTTAATGATTGGACACACCTGCAACTACCCCAAAATGCCATTTTCTACCAGCATCTAAAAGGAAAATATGTATTGTACTATTGGGTAACACTCGAGTGACTAATCTAATTCATCGAGACTTAAGCCAAGTTACTGTAGATCAGGGATGGGCACTTTGACCTTCTTATGACAAACCTATGACTAATGTAAAATGCAGCTACCCACTTTGTTTGCAACAACAGGCACAATGACCAGGTAGAGGCATTGTTCTGTTCTCTGCACTTATCCATCCTAGGGTGGTGGACGCATTTTTTGGCTAGCATCCTCAAAGGTCTTTTATCATGCTGGATCACTGACTTCTTTAGAAGTATCTTTGCTGGATTCACAGCCTAATAGGAATTAGACCGAACTGTTTATTTACCAGCACTCTACGTTGCCTCCTATCTACCAGTGGCTTCTCAGCAGCTTCTAAGGCAGTTCTGGTGCTCGATACCCTTATCAAACTTACTTTACATCATGTGAGCTGAGGGGCAGGAAAGTTCTTTGTGCTGATATGTCCCATTTATGCTAATTTTCCATTGTTAGCCACAGAGAAGAAAGAAATCTCTTGTGGAGTTCAGCACTTGGGGAGACTGGGAGCCTGCAGCACTGATGATTAGTGGGTTTACAGGGTCTGTTGGAGGAAATGTTGACTGGGACAGCTGAACTTCAAATGATGGCTCCACCAGGCATGCAGTAGCTGCGTACAATACTGCAGCCATTAAGGACCTTTGTCTCTGGCCTATCCTCTAGGAAGAGGGATTATTTTTACATTTCTGTTCTCTTGTACTTTTTCAGGGTTCATTCTTCTTAAAAGAAGATAAAATTTGATACTGGTGTTCTGTGACTTTCTACTCCTGTAATTGTCTGAGTAGTCTGAAGTGCGGGGATGGGATTGCATTGCTGGGTGAACGAAAGTTGCACTGTAGCAGTTGTTCCACAAGATGCCAGCATTGGGCAAGCAGCTACAGGTCCTGGCCACGGACCTCCCTTCTGTCCTAGGCGTGTTTTGAAGTTGGGTATGAGCAAAAGGATTTTCATTTTATTTCTTCTGTAGTTGCAGAAATTTGTATAGGTGGACAGTGGAAGTACCCTTAAGTTTATTAACTTCATCATCAGGTTGTACTGAATAAGCCCTGTATACTAGGGTTCACAAGACTGATTATCTTTCACCCTCATGACTGATATTACAGTCCTGACACTCCCCAGAAAAGTCAGTGGGAACAGTTTATAATTGGAGAACTGTAGGCACAGACTGGATCTCTTCCTTCTGAATATATGCATCTCTGCTTTAGTACCTAGGGCATTCTTCCTCTCCAACAGCTGTGGGGTTTTTCATGACTAATCTGGATTTCCTAGTTTAAAAGAGGCAGTTAGACTGAAGTCATTCCTCCATGCCTGGCTGCATTTTCCTTTTTTTCTGCAGATGCTGAAAAAGGCTGCCATTTCCTTCACATCCTGAGCTGTGTTCGTCAGAGCTACAACCCCTCTCTGGCTGAAGTGGTGATGCACCGCGTCTTGGAACTGCTGGAGTGTAGCAGTGATATTGTCAGCACTATGGAAGGATATTATATGGCATTTTAAAGAGAGAAGATAAGATACATTCGTTCTGATCCATTCAGGAGGGAAGAAGGAGAGGTTGGGTGACTCTGAAAAGCTGCTAATACCTGATATGATCTAGATGGGGGAGAAAAAGAGCATTCTGATTCTCCAAATGCTGGTTTTGACCAGCTCCAGAGAAGTTGTTCAAATACTTGTTTTAAAATTCTTACTGACTTCCTTGCTGTTCCTAGTCAAACTGATTCTGGACATCCTAATACATCAGGGGAGCTGGAAAAGAAACTGGGCTGTTTCCTTGCAGTAAGATGTGACATGGCCATCCTCACATTTACATCCAGTGAGCCCTAAAGAGAAGTCACTGCTAAAGAGTGCTGCTTACAGCAGTGGTCATGTCAGGACTCGGTTTTCTGGCTTAAAGACTGATCTTGTTATCTTTCCATACGGTAATAGCTGTGGATCTTTCTTTTTATGTATACTTTATAATAGCTAGAGAAAGGACATGCAAGCAAACAATCAAAAGATTTGCCTGTCCTTCCTGGCAGTGTTGGTGTACCCTTGTCTGTATATAAGTATTCCTGAATGTGCACAGCTTTCCCACTACTAAAACAGTCCTCGCTTTTCTCTGAAAAGTGATATTCAGGAATGGGATCTTGCATCCCTTCCCCATACTGCAGCCTTGCCCACTGCTTGTCAAGCATGGCTGGATTCCCCTGGCTACCATGTGTGCTACTGGTGCATGTTGTTGTGGATTCTGTTCAGAGCAGAATTCTCAAAATCAGCCACCGTTTTGCTGTTTATTTTTAAATTGCTTCCTATATCACAAATGGTAAACCATAAATCAGATGCTTTGGAAAAGAAAATACGAAAGCCAGCAAGATCCACTGTAATCTCCATGCTCTCTGTTGCCTTTTGTATCTTCTATTCCTTGTCACCTTTGGAGAAAAATACTGTCCATATCTGTGCTTTGCAGAGGAACACAAGACATTGATGAAATAACATTGGCCTAAAGAAGGTTACCATGCAAGACATTTGATCTGGAATAATCACAACTCTGTTATGTGCCACAGTTCAAAGCCCAGAGCTGTTGAGTATTTGTCCTTAGAGAGGGCTTGCTGCTGCAGGGGCTTGTCTATTTAATTAATCTGTTTAATTAATGGTGTGGAGGCGAGGTCTTTAATTTGAAAAGAGTAGAAAGGATTGAATGTATCCTTCCTCTTTCCTCTGCACCTTCCCTATAACAGTTGAAACAGCAGACTCCCAGGAGGCAGATGTAGTGGTAAAACCCTATAAGGATTGACATAGCAGGGAAAAATAAACCATATGCATGAGGAAAGCCAGTGAGTAGCCCCATGTGTGCCAGGTCTCTGGTTTGTTGTTATATTATATGCCTCATTCCAAGCCCTGGCTGCAGTGAGGTATAGGCTAAGAGAAAGGCATGACAAAATATTTGGCATTTGCATTCAGAGGCCTGTGGAAAACTTTGGCCTTAAAGAGATGGTGCATTTGTCTGTAGTGGAAAACTATGTATGAATCATTCTTTTGCTGTAAATTCCCTACTTGCTGCAGGGCTCAATAGTTGGTTTCCCTGCAGGCTGCCCTACTCCTAGCGTTGCTGTTCTGTTCTGAGTTGGGTACCTTCTAGTCAGATCTTAATATGGGCCTGAACAGGTGCTGAAAGGATGTACCCGTGCAGAAAGAGATAAAAGAGGATTAAGGAAGAATTGTAGAAGTCTTTCCCCCTCCCCCCCAATGTCTCTGGAAATCAGGGAAATAAGTTCAGATTCTGAGTGCAGTGGTACTGAGGGGAATTGAAGCTTTAATTTATGCCTACAAAAAGGTCTAGTTGGCCCCAGGGGAGATTTGCTTTTCAGATTCCTGCTCTGATTCCTGATCAGTTTGAAGTGATGCTTAAAAACGAAGGCTATCCGTGGAAGAAGTAGTTCGGAATACTGATTCCTAAATTCAGACTCACTTGAGGAGTTAACCATATGTTACTGCTTGATTATGGACAAGTTGTCTGCTTGGCATGAGTTTGAGGATATTTTAAAGGAAAGTATGTGGTGTCTTGAACCATATGGAAGAGCATGGCATCGAATTTAAGAGACTCGCTTGGCCATTTTCTTGAAATGTTCTGTATTAGCAGAAGCTGATTTTGCTGGGAAATGGTTAAAAGAACACTGCTAGCTCAGTGGGAAAGGTGATCTCTCTTCTCTTAGGTTAAAAGAAAGAAAGACCCTGCTTCTCCTGGGGGTGTCAGCCAAGTGTGTGGGCTGGCTGAGTTTTGGGAGGAGCTTTGCTCAGCTAAATATTGGAGGAAAAGATAATCTGGAGATCATGTTGCTCTTTAGGGTCTCTTTAAAATAAATTCATACCAAAATAGGATTACATCTTTGTCCTTTGCAGCTTGTATAGTCATATATGCAGCTTCTAATAGGTTCTGTTGCCTCCAGCTTTGATGCTGCACTTCTGGTGTTTTAGATGTATTTCTGTGTGTAAAGTCTGCCTAAAACGCTTGGCCACCTATTTTCTGTGCATTGGAGGTTGGTGCAGACACAAAGTGTCTCTGTCCTGCCCCTGTTGCAACTTAAAAGCACTGATCAACTGCAAAGCCTCAGAGATGAGGTGGGAGGAACTTATCTTGGGAAAGACAGGTAAGTCACTCTGAAAAGAAGTCCTTGGAAGTTTTTAAGTTGCTCCTTGCTGGCAATGCTGGACTCTTGTGATGGAGGGTGCATTCTGTGAAAATGGATTATTCTCACTTGAGTTAACTCAGAGAAATAATATGAATGAAGACAAGGGAGCCTACATTTTTTACAAGGGGAAAGGTTAAGGTAGAGTTAATGGAGGAGCCTAGATTTAAGTTACACAGATTCTAATTCTCAGTAACTGTACAGAATAGGTGTGCCTTAAGCTTTCATGCTTTATTTTTTCCACAGTAGCCACCCAACACAGACTAACACTTGCTCTGGTTGAGTGCATTCCCTCTCTTGTATCTACAGGGAATACCATATGCATATGCCTGCACAGGAGTACCCCAGCTAGCTGTGGGAGCACAGAGCTCACTGTAGGTTGATTTACCCATTTACTCTATCTCTACAGTATGCTTCTGTGACAGCAGTCTAGACATACCCATATTGGTATAAGTCACCTTTATGTAAGTCTAACTACACACACTAGGGCTTTTACTGCTAATAAACTGTCTCTCTGTTTAAAGATCATATCCTTAACCAAGAGAGTCATATCATGCACACTGTTAAAATTCTTAGACTTAGACCACACCTACAAAATATTGTGAGGAACATTCAGTGAAAGCACGCTTTCTTGGTTTGTTTAATTTGAAAACTCATTAGGCAACACAATTATTACTGGCGTATTAAAGGACTTTGAAGGTGGCACTTTAATGTTAAACTTACAAGTGAGAATTCATGTTGTAGGACTGCTTCATGGCCAGTTCCAGTTTCCATAGAAACAGTTATGGCAGTAAAAGGCAGGTAAGTAAAATCAAGTTTTAAAAAGCAGTCAGCGTTTTTATGTTACCCTAAAAAGGTACGTTTCCATAGAAATGCAGCATCTGAGAACAAAAATTACCAAAGAATCTTAAAACTCTATTCTAGCAAAATGTAAGGTGATTGTTTTTCTGGTGAGGAAATGTAGGAACAACTCTACCTTCAGTCTCTTCCATCTGCTTAGGTGGCAGAAGACATGTAGTTGCTTCATGCCTTGGTTTCCCTCTTTTGTAAATTGGGGATAATACAGCTCCCTGTGTAGGGCATAAGCCTCAATTTTTCTTAATGTTAGTCATTAAAAGCTCTTGAGATCTCTCAGTGGGAGTTAGAGAAGAACTCTGTGGCTATGTGGGAAAGGGTGAATAGATAGATGCTGGAGTGGGACTTAGTTCTAATCCAAGCCCCACTTTTGCTAATCTTTCTTTAAGCTTTATCTTTCTCTGCCTCTATTTTCATGCATATTGCTTTGCCTGTCTTGTCTTTTTGCTCTCTAGGTCCTATGAAGCAATGATGGTCTCCCTGTTTTTATTTGTATCAAATATTTTTCCTGGAATCCTCTTCCTTCTTATGACTTCTTAAAAATAGAAATCCAGATAAATGACTTCTGAGTGTTCTTGTTCTCAAATCCTTGGATTGTAAATTTGTACCCATGAGGATATGTATTTTACACAAGCTACCTGGGAAATGAAGCTTTTTTTTCAAAGTAATAAATGAAAAATTTAAAGACTGGCTACATGACTGAAAACTGTTACTTTTGTGGATCTGTCCATACTTGTGTAATCCGGTGATGAACACCATAAACAGACGGAGTTGCTAATTCATTATTCAGAATGAAAATTCATCAGTGAGCAGCCAGTGAGGCATGGAGCCACATGGAGAATTACGAGACAAAGTATCGAAAATCTGCTTGTCAAAGAGGTGCAGTTTGGTTTACTTTGGGAGTAAGACGATCCTGTGGGGAAAAGATGTGCCTAGCAAAGATTTGTATCTTTATACTTACTTCTAAATGGGAAGGGAGCAAGTTCAGATCCCATGGGCAATGTGAATTTTGAAATTTCCTGTCAGTGCGGTGCTACGTTCTTTATTGCCATCTTTCAGTGTAGTCTCCAGCCCTCTTGCCCCGACCCTACAGGCTAGTGAGCAAACAAAAGTTCAGCCGCAAAGATAAAAGAATAGTCATAATAATTGGTTACCATCCTTCAGGAGCTCCAGCGTTACAGAAACATTTTTATGGATGTTTGTTGGCAGCAGGGAAATGCTGAGCCAGGGATCTTGGGTTTCATTCCCAGCAGTATGCCCTGTCAGGCACACAGACTTCCCACCTAATTTCTTTCATCTATTTCTGCTCTCCATTCTCACACCTAACTGCCATTTCTCAGGCCCTTCATTTCATTCACAGTCTCATGGTTCATCTCTGCACCACCGATCTTGGTCAAACCTCCTTCCTCTCTATGGTGGTTTCCTTTTTCTTTCGTAACTGAAATATCCTTGTCAGCATCTGGCAATTGAAAGTTTTGG